ACTGCACAGTCTTTGGAGTCAGAATTCAAACTCAAAAAATGAATGAGTACAGCTTCTAAACCCATTAGTAACCTGAGAGAAATTCAAACTAAAAACAAGATTTTACTTCACATCTACCAGCAACTTGAAAGTTGGACAATGCCAAGGGTGGGTGGGAAATGGGGAAAATGGAAACTCTTGTGTAACTATGGGTGGGACTGAGTGTAGACTGGTACAGCCATTCCAGAAGTGATTTATTTGGCAGCTCTTAATCCAATTAAGTATAGGTGTAGTCTTTGGCCTAGGAATGTCACTTCCAGCTAAACATCCCAGAGATATTCTTACACTGATCCTTAGGGAAACACTCAAAGGATCCCTAAGGTGGATCCTCAAAGCACTGTGTATAAAAAAGGAGTTGAAGGCAACCTAAGTGTCTGTTGCCAGGGGAATAGGTAAGCAAAATGTAGATGCACTTGATGGAGGATGAGGGAGCAGATGTCGACACCAATGAAGCAGATGTATGCACTTCAACATAGTTAAATTGTAAAAACTGTGCTATGAGGGGAAAGTGAGACATGGACAATATGTGTAAATCATGTCTTTCATGTAAATATGAAATGAATACACACAGAAAAGGATACAAAAAAGTCAAGGATATTGAACGCTCTAGAACTGTTGTGGGGGATGAGACTGGAGAATTGTGATGAAAGAAAACAATGTGCATTCAGACAGAAAAGGATGTAAGGGAATGGTCTTGCAAAATGCAGGTAGTAAAAGATCTGTGCATCCCAATTCTATCATTTTATTGCTGTGTGACCTTGGATAAGTCATTTCACCTTTTTGATACCTGCTTTTCTTGTCTGGAAGATGGAAGATATGGACTGTCACAACCTGTGTCATGAAGGATGTCTACAGAGGAAGTCAGTGTAGCATAGAAAGAGCAAGGAGCCAGACAGACCCAGCTGTTCACCGTGTGGCCTTGGAGAATCACTTCACAGATATCTAGATTCTGTTTTAAATGAGGTGGCCAAGCCCTGGCCGGTCTGGCTCAGCGGTTAAAGCATCAGCTCATGGATCAATGAGTCACAGGTTCGATTCTGGTCAAGGGCACATACCTCGGTTGCAGTTCATCCCCAGCCCTGGTTGGGGTCATGCAGGAGGCAACCAGTTGCTGTGTCTCTCTCGTATCGATGTTTCTCTCTCTCTCCCTCCCTCCTACTCTATCTGAAAATAAATAGAAAAATATCCTAGGGTGAGGATTTAAATAAATAAATGAAGTTGTCAAGACCTCACTGAGAAGGGGACATTTGAGTAAAGTCATGAAGGAGTCAAAGGAGTAAGCCATACAGATATCCAGGGGGAGAAGTAATCCAGACAGAGGGAAGATCAGGTCTATCCATAGGTAATTATGTGAAGTTCTCCTCACAGTGCCCAGGACACAATAAGCGGTCAGTAACTACTGAGTGTTCACCCCTTTCCCTTCTCTAACAGATGACAGGATCAGGGTGATCACTCAATGCACCTTCTAGCTTCAGTGATGATGACACTCTGGCCTCAGAAGGATTTCGAAACACTACATTCATGTACATCACCCACCTAACTGACCACAGGAGCCTCACCCTGGGAAGAAGTCCTTGCTGCTGAGGCTTCAACTGCATGGGGAGCCTAAGAGCCCTCAACTCAGACAGGAAGCTGGAAACACCGAGACAGGGCTCCTCGACAGCTGCTATTGTCCTCAAGGGGCTCCCAGCCCAGCACACACCAAAGCTATGACAGTGCCTAGAGGGGCTTGAGCGAGAGTACAGTCACCTGTGGGGAGGAGAGAAGGGAAAGGACCACATTTACTAAGGCAGATCTGGCTTTGAATATTGTTCTGCCACTTACCAGCTCTTTCACCTTTATAAGTCACGGAACCCCTCCAAGCCTTAATTTCTATAAAATGATATGAAAATATCAACCCTGTACAGTGGTTATGAGGACTTATGAGATAAGATTTGTGAAAGTGGCAAGCAAATATCTGGGGTTCAACAAAAAGTAGTCTCTTTTCCTCTGTGCCAAGTACCTGGAAGGCAGCCACTGTCATATCCAGTCAGCTCTGGTCCTTATTTATTCATTTCTATAGGGATGGAATCACCTACCTTTCATGAAGGATGTGAGACAACAAATAAAAACTGTAATTAGCATAGTTACTGGACAAAAATAGGATACCTGGATGGATGTGTGCATGCACAGATGGATGACTAGAGGGATGGACAGACTGATGCATGGATGACTGGGTAGGTGGGAGGATGGCTTTCGGCAGAATGTCAGAGGAAGCAGAATTTGTGTTACAAAAATACAAGTCTGCACAAAAAAACCCAGTTATTTTACAAGAGGGTTTATTTTACCTATTTTTAGCCTTAGGTCTCAAGCACAAATATAACATAAATGAGTAAAAACAGGCATAAACATGCCCAATTCGTCAGCTGTGACCTACACTTACCACTCTCTTGACTATGACTCATCTCAGAGCACCAGATCTTGCCTGCACCAACATTCTCCAAATAAGATCACTGGTAGTTCCTTCGGGTGAAAGCTGAGATCAGGGGGAAATGTCAGGGTAAGACCTTCTTGACATGCAAGATAGCTTGGAAATCCTGACTGGTGACGTTTCTTCTAAAGAATTATAATTCAGCCCTGGCCGGTTTGGCTCAGCAGTTAGAGCGTCAGCCTGCGGTCCAGAGAGACCCGGGTTCACTTCAGTTCCCACTAAGGGCACGTACCTCGGTTGCAGTTTGTCCCTGGCCCCGGTTGGGGTTGTGTGGGTGGCAGCCAGTCGATGTGTCTCTCTCACATCAATGTTTCTCTCTCTCTCTCTCTCTACCTCCCTCTTTCCCTCTTGCTCTATCTGAAGATGAATGCAAAAGTGTCCTCGGGTGAGGAAAAAAATAAAAATAGAAAACAAAGAATTACAATTCAGCTTTTCCTAACATCCCTGTCACCATTGCAAGAAGCGAGAGACATAGGTTAGCAGCCAATTCTGTATTCACTGCAGTTCCATGCTGTGTAATTTCTGTAATTATGTGGCCCCTGTGAGTCCCATGTTCCCCTTAGTAAGATAAAAGAATTGGACCCTCAAGGTTCCAAAATGTTCAGATCCTCTGAAAATCCCTGACATCTTCCCTTAAATACGAACATAGAACTTTGGAAGGATATGTATTATTAAATTCTTTCTCCAGCTCTCCTTGAAGAGTCTGTTAACCCCTTTCAAAATAAGTGCATGTAAATGTCAATATGTCTGTTTTCGCTACACCTGGGAAAGCAGTAAGCTTTGGAAATAGACTGATCTCAACTCCAGGCCTTCTGTGAGAAACTATAGATACATTGATGATCAAGGTTCAGTTCCTGCCCCAAGAAAAGAAAGACAGGCATTGAAATGGATCAACTAAGGTATAAAAAAGTTAGGTATAAAAAAGTTAGACCCTTCTAGCCCTAAAATGCTGCTAGGAAAAAGCCAATGACCCCGTCTAGAGGCCTTTGGGAAGGTTGCCTATAAGAAGTATTCTGGGCTACGTCAAAAAGAAGAGAGAGCAGTCTTGGCCGGTTTGGCTCAGCAGGAGTGTCGAACTATGGACCTATGAATCACAGGTTCAGTTCTGGTTGAGGGCACATACCTCAGTTGCGGTTTAGTCCCTGGCCCTGCTCGGGGTCATGCGGGAGGCAGACAGTCAATGTGCCTCTCTCACATCGATGTTTCTCTCTCTTTCTCTCCTTCCCCTTCCCACTCTATCTGAAGATAAATGGAAAAGTGTCCTCAGGTGAGGATTCAAAAAAAAAAAAAAAAAAAATGAAGAGAGCATCAGAGGTCACAACCAAGCAGAAGTCACAGGGGGAGTAAACTTGGCTATAAGCAGAGTGGTGAGATCACAGGGCTGTAGCATGGTCTACAAACTAAAATACTCCTCTGTGGGCCCTGGGTATGAGTGGGACCCTATCGTACTGAGGCAACATACTGGGAGAAACAAGGGGGCGATCAGAATTTACCATCTCAGAACTGTCAAACTTACTTTTTTTTAAATGGTAGTAGTATGGCTTATTAAGCTGTGCCTTAGTGCAGGTGCTGGGGCTTGCCCATGGTGCTCTTGCTCTACAAAGCCAAGACATTCTGCCCGTTCTTTTTGAGCAATGACACTAAGAAATTGACAGCTAAGTGTATATTGTACACAAGCTCATCACCTGTCATCTTCATGTGGCCAACAGCCACTCCCAGACACAGCACCTTCTTCATCTGGAACTTGATTGGGGATTTCACTTCATCAATTTTGGTCACACTGTTCTCATTGTGAGTCAACAAGGAGGGGAACTTGCTGGTCTTATTCAGGCCTGGGCCCAGGATTTGTGAGATCTGCTGGATCAGAGACTCTGAAGCCAAAAAGGCATCATACTTCTTGGCCAGATTCTTGACCAGTGTCTTATTCTTGTTGAGTTCTTCAGTGCCTCCATGTCCATGTGTGTGTGTGTCGGGGGGTGTCCACAGTGCTGCTGGTCCCCCAGAACACATACGGAGGGCTTGGGCAGGGAGTGGACTTACGCCTGACAGTGCCCAAGAAGTGTTTGTCCTTCTGAGAGTCATAGTTCTTCAAGCTGATCTGCAGCTCCACTCTCTCCAAAACCTTCTGGCACTTTCCCTGGTTCCCGTGCATGACTTCTCGCACCACCTCCTAGAGGGAGATTTTGCTATTCATGATTCCTCATGCTGCAAAAACATGGCAAAAGAGCTCATACTTACCCTTTATTGGGCACTTACTGAATGCAGACCCTGTGCACTTTACACACATCACAGCAGTGTTTCCTGAGGTGACTGTACACAGGACACCAAGAACATAGTTATGCTTTCTGGTTAAGTTTATCTTCTATGTGTGGCAGGTGGCATTCGTTTTTGTTTGTAATTTAATTATAAAGCATCATTATTAACAATTTAAGTGTTAAAAAGTGACCCAATTTGAAAAAATATATTTATTAAGTAAACATACAGCTGCAAAAACTGTGAGGGGGGTACACAAATCACTGGAATTCGAGAAACACTGTGCTTTAGCATATAAGCATTTATCTTGTTCTGAGCTCTTTTGGTTGCAATACATAACTCAAATCAGCTTAAGCAAGATAAGAGAAGGAATCCTAACAAGGAAGGTATCCTAACCACAGGCCACAAAGGAAAAGTGCAGTTGTGCCTCAAGAAGGGCTTGGCCTGGAGGAGGAGAGGGCAGGCCCCTGGAAGCACTGCCCCCTCCTCTCTCCAGGCCCCCGGGGTCTCCCTCTGGTCTCTGCTTGGCTGTGCACATCTCCGGCTTCTCTCTGAGCAGAGCCTTTTTCTCTAGTATACTCATGTAGGTGGTTGCCCTCTGCCACCCTCCAAACCCAGCACATATACACGTAGATGCACACACACTCATAGGTCCAGAGTTTATATATCTTCAGGTGAGCCTGAAATAGCATCCCTGAATCTTACTACTTATTCTGAGAGAGACAACCTGGCTGGTCCAACTGGAGCCAGATGCTCACCTCTCATCCATTCAACTCCTATAGGAAGATTGAGGGGAACACATTCTCAGAAAAAGAGAGAATCTGGAATGAGTAGGCACCCTGACCAAGAGGTCTCTGCCTCAGCAACTTAACTCGCTGCTCATAACAACCCTATGAGGTAGGAAATTCAGCCCGCAGTCCCGCAGCAGGAAGTGACAAAGCCAAGATGTGAACCTGGGTTCACCAAAGCTCCAGTAAGCTGCACTATCTACCTGGTCACCATCAGGTTAAGTCCAGCCCACAGCCACCATTGTGGACCCAAGCGAGTTTCTGGCCCACTGGGAGAAAGTTATCAACATGAATCAACCCAGTGTTTGCCCAGTAGACAGAAAACAAGGATCCTAACTTTATGGGTACACTATCTGGGAGAGAAGATTTCCTAGAAGGTCCACAAGGCTCTGGAAACCAGAGAAGTCTCCTCTAAGCCCTGGGTCTGAGTGGGTACTCAGCTCAGGGTGCAAGAGGAGGCTCATTTGAATATATTTGCTGAAAATCACAAACAAGCATCTAGAGATCCTTTAGAAGCTGACACTCCTCTTTGCACCCAGAATTCAAAGTGCCTGCTGGCCCTTGAAATCATAACTGTTCCTCCCCCCTCCTGGAAGCTAAATTAGGAGGGGTTCCCTAGAAAGCGAGGCAAGGAGGAGACCTGACAGGCTCCTTCCACTTTGGGGGCCTGGGAAATACACAGGCATTTCCCAGCCTAAGCTCCCACTGCCACTGTGGTGGCCTGGATGGCCAGAGTTCAGCCTTGAAGAGCCTTTGCCCACCCACAGTAGGTGGCTGGCCAACAGGAGGTCCATTGAGGTCCATTACTGAGACAGACAGATGGATGTGGTGATTGTGTCTCTCCCACTCCCCAAGAGCTGGCTCAAGCTTGAAGCGAGGCTTGTGCAGAGACACCCTGCCTCAGGAAAGGAGTTCCCCATCCCAGCGTTTAGTCTATGCACGTTTTATCTTCTCTGGTCACCATTCAGGACAGGTTGTTGGGTGAGTCGGGAGCAGTTTCCACCGAGCCACCCTAACAAGTGTCACTAAAGACCTAGTGCCTGTGGGTGGAGACAGGGTGGCACCATCCTAGCTCAAAAGTCTGCCCCAAAGATCCTGCCATGTTGCCAGGGGAGTGTCCCTTTGCCAAAACCCCTTTCTCTGCCTTTACAGTGATAAAGGGAGTGGTTGCTCAAAAGTTTAGGTCACACTCACTTGGGTTGCTGCCCTAGCAGGGTGAACTGGGAGGCTCAGAGTCTGCCCCTAAGGTCTGTCCCTGGCTCCCAGAGCCATCAGGCACTCAGGATGAGGCCACCAGTCAAGGTTACTATGGCAGGTGCCCAAAGGTGGCTCAAGGGGTTCATTCATCCAGCAGTCTGGCTCTTCCATCATCCCCACCTTGGGGAGGGAGCCTCTATATCTAATGGCTCCCAGCACTCAGGGAGCAGGTGCCCAGACCACAGCAAATACCTCTTCTTCCCCCCAAGTCAGTCATAATGTCCATGAAAGAGAAGCCTCTGGGCCTGGCCTCCTCCTCAATCAGGGGCTAATTTTTGAGGGAATTAGCAGGGATGTGGTTGATCGGCAAGACCACTTCGGTGCCCGTCTCCATGGTGGCCAGGGGGCATTTCCGGCTGCTGCGCATGCTGTGGAACTTCTCGGTCAGGTGCTTGCGGAACTTCTTGGTGAGGAAACAGTAGATGATGGGGTCCAAGACACAGTTGGTGCTAAGGAAGCAGAGGGTGACCTGATGTGCATCATTGATAGCCTGGTGGAAGCTGTTGTCCTGGAAGCCCAGCTCGGCCAGGGTCCAGGGCAGCTGCACCACATGGTGAGGCACAAAGCATATGATGAACACAGCCAGGACTGTGCAGACCATCCACAGCGCCCGGCGCTTGACTTCCGCATTGCGCTGCAGCGGCACCGGTTGCGTGAGCAGCGTGCGGATGATGACCAGGTTGCAGAAGAGGATGAGGAGGAAGACAACGAAGAAGCCAAACACGAGAAAGACGTGAATGAGGAGGACCGGCATGCTGCCTTTCTCATAGTGTTCAAAGCAGCGGGTGATGTTGCCTGATCCGGTCTTGTCGGGCACTATGTTGGTGGAGTCCAGGACAAAGAAGTAGGACGCAGCGGCCACAATGGACACCCAGATGATCAGGGACAAAGAGATGCCACGCTTGCGGGTGGTGGCCTGAGCGGTCTTGATGGGCTTTGTCACCGCCTGGTAGCGGTTGTAAGTGATGACAGCCAGGAAAGCCACTGAGCAGTAGGTGTTGATGAAGAAGAAGCAGCCAGCCAGATTGCATAGGAATGCAGGAAGAATCCAGTTGCCCTGGTGGTAGTAGTAGGTGATCCACAGGGGCAGGGTGACCAAGAAGAGCAGATCGGCCATGGTGAGGTTCACCATGAAGATCTTTATCTCGCTGAGTTTCTTGGAAGGGTACAGGCGGGCAAAGACCCACAGCACATAGCTATTAGCGATGACCCCCACCACAAAGATGATACTGTAAGCAATTGGGAAGAGGGTGTATCGGAACTCAGAGTCAACTCGAGAGGAATCATTTGTCTCCATTGCTCTGGGCTGAAAAAGGCAGCTGGTCACAGTGTCCTGCCTGTGCCTGAGGGACCACACAGGAATTCTGGTTAATGAAGGGCCAACAAGGAACTATCTTATTTCATCAATTCCAAGACTCGCATTTTTCACATTTTTAAAACTCTAAAATCAATGGCATCTTCCAATTAATTGGCAACATTTATTTTTTTTCTATATAAAATAATTTTTTTAATGAACTAAATCTGAGATTTAATGAAATCAATGGTAGTTCAGTTTCAGCAGTAGAAACATGAAGACTATAGATATTTAAACAGGTGAGTTTAAAGAAATGACTGAAATGACTGATTCCTCACTGGGTGGTTTTGCTCAGTGGTTAGAGCGTCAGCCCTTGGACCAAAGAGTCAGGGTTCGATTCCGGTCAAAGGCATGTACGTTTGTCATTTTTCCAAGTGATAATGATGGCCCAGGTCAGGGTCGTTCCGGAGGCAACCGATTGATATGTCTCTCTCACATTAGTGTTTCTCTCTCTCCCTTCCTCCTTTCCACTCTATCTGGAAAAAAAAAATCAATGAAAAAAATGTCCTCAGGTGAGAATTGAAAGAAAGAAAGAAAGAAAGAAAGAAAGAAAGAAAGAAAGAAAGAAAGAAAGAGAGAAAGAGGGAGGGAGGGAGGGAGGGAGGGAGGAAGGAAGGAAGGAAGGAAGGAAGGAAGGACTGGTTCTAACTGGAATTTTGTTGACTAAGAAAAAAACAAAAAACATTTGTGCTTTGTTCCATTTACTGTGGTGGTGGTTTGTCTATATTAAATTAAGTAAATGTAGCTTCCATTATTCCAATAAACCATTATGATTCCTTTAAAAACAAAAAACTCATCGCGAGTCACATCGTAAATTACATAGTTAATTTGAATTATATAGTTTAATGCTACGGGAGTTTTCCACTGCTAACAGGAGCTCTGCCATCTGATCCCAAAGCTCTGGGATAATAGTTCTCCGAAGGGGTCCACAGAGATGAGGAGAGAGGAACATCTCTGAGACCTTTCAGGGGATCCATGAGGTCAAAACTATTGTCATAGTAATACCAAGACATAATTTGCCTTTTGCACTGTTTTGACATTTGTGCTGATGCTGCAAAACTGCTGGCTTCTTAGCATAAATCGAGGCAGCAGCACCGAACTGTAGTAGCAGCCAAATTCCTTATACCCAGGCACTCCGTGTTTTTTTTCTTTTTTAATGCCAATTTCACTTTAAGTCCCTTTAAAATGTCCTTGGTAAAGCAAGGAAATTATTAATTTTATTAAATCTTGAGTACATATCTTTGTCAAAATGGGAAATCCACGTGAAACATTTTTTCTGCTTCAAATGGAAGTAAATTGGTTGCCTTCAGAGAAAGCACTTATGTGATTGAGTTGTGAGTTAAACTTTTTAAAGAAAGAACATCCTCAACTTTTTTATTTTATTTTTATCCTCACCCAAGGGCATTTTTCCATTTTTTGTTCAGATAGAGTGGCAGGGAGGGAGGGAGGGAGAGAGAGAGGGGGGTGTGTGAAAGGGACACATCGAGTGGCTGCCACCCACACGACCCAACCAGGGCCAGGGACAAACTGCAACCAAGGTACGCGCCCTTAGCGGGAACCACAGGCTAACGCTCCAACCGCTGTGCCAAACTGACCAGGGCTTTTATTGATTTTTTTAGAGAGAGAGTAAGGGAGAGAGATAGAAACATCAATGTGTGAGAGATACATCGATCAGCTGTCTCCTGTACGTCCCCTACTGGGGATCGGGCCCACAACCTGGATGTGTGTCCTGACCGGGAATCGAACCAGGACCTCTCTGTCCACGGGACAAGGCTAAATCCACTGGGCCACACTGGCCAGGCTATTACCACAGATTTAATGCAGAAGCAGATATGAGAATCCAGCTGTCTTCTATCAAACCTAATATTAAAGTGATTTACAAAAAAAAAAAAAATAAGTAAATGCCAGTCTTCCTAAAATGTTTGTTTTGAAATTTTTGTTATTTCTTTTACTAAAAATGTTATTTATGTTAACAGTGAGTTGTTATTGGTTTTTATATTTAAAAACAAACATTTTTAGAATGTCTTAGTTTTCATTTTGAATATGCTAAACAGTGATAGATATAACCCACATAAACAAAAAGTCTCTGAGGCCCTCAAAAAATTTTAAGGATATAAAAAGATCCTGACCCCTGGCTGGTTTGGCTCAGTAGTTAAAGCGCTGGCTCACAGACCAAAGGGTCATAGGTTCGATTCCCAGTCAAGGGAAGGTTTGATCCCCACCCCAGTCAGGGTCACGTGGGAGGCAACCAATCAATGTGTCTCTCTCACATCAATGTTTCTCTCTCTCTCTCTTTCTCCTTTCCACTATATCTATTAAAAAAAAAAAAAAATCAATGGAAAAATATCTTCCAGTGAGGATTAACTGCTACTCATAATGCTAGGTCCTCCTCCCTCTCTCCCTTGAAGCCAAGATGCCCGTTCATCTACGACTAGCCTTGTTTCTTTTTTTCTTTTTTTTAATCCTCACCCGAGGACATTTTTGCATTTATCTTCAGATAGAGCAGGAGGGAAAGAGGGAGGAAGAGAGAAAGAGAAAAACATTGATGTGAGAGAGACATCGAGTGGTTGCCACCCACACAACCCCAACCTGGGCCTGGGACAAACTGCAACCGAGATACATGCCCTTAGCGGAAACCGGACCCAGGACTCTCGGGTCCGCAGGCCGATGTTCTAACCACTGAGCGAAACTGGCCAGGGCAGACTGGCCTTGTTTCTTTCTCCTGTTGGACCCCCATGCCTTGGGGAACCCTGTTCCTGGGGTCTGAGAGAGGCGAGGAGGCAGCCCATGGCTGGGAGTGTGTGGTGCTCTTCACTCTGGGTCTTCGAGGAAGTCACATCCCTACCCACCGCCCATACACACACACCCACCTCCACCCCTAAGTCGGTCCCTTCCTCTCCTTAGGTTTAGACTCCAGCTCAGTGGGGTGGGAGCAACTCTCCTTTGGAAACTGTCCCTCTCCAGCCAGAGGACTCAACCCAAGACACCCCCCTGGGCCCTGTCCCCTGTGCCAGGAGAAAGTCTTCCCACCAGGGCCAGGACAAGGGAGGGTAAGGCTTGTGAGGCTCTCATTAGGCATTAAATGTAAGGGGGGCACCAAAAACTTTACTAATCAAGATAAATAATATTTTAATGCAATAGTTTAAAAAATAAAATCAGTATCACTGATTCTTCCTTTTGCCTCACCCTGTAATACGGCTCTGCCTGGCACTATTATGATCTTGTCTTCATTTAAAATTGTAGTATTTTGACAAACTCATTGATACAAACAACAAATTGATAGTTACCAGAAGGGAAAGGAGATCGGGGGAGGGCGAAATGGGTAAAGCGCGTCAAATGTATGGTGACAGAAATTAGACTTCTGGTGGTGAGCACGCTATAGTGTACATAGCCATCAAATTATAATATTATACTCCTGAAACTGATATAATGTTATTAATCAATGTTACCTCAATTTAAAAAATGGTATTTTGTTCATGGACATTTTTTATTAATTTATTTTTTAAAAATCTTTTTACAGGTTAGCCCAACTCACCCATTCAGTCACTCATTCACTGGACAAGCACGCACTGCTCCAGGCTGTGGGTAGAGTACTAAGGCCTCAGAGATTAGACTCAGCTCCTGCCCTTCAGTGGCTCACAGACCATTTTGCAAGAGAGAGATTCAGAAATAGGCAAGTGACAGTGTTATGATGGGAGAGGTACCAGCTGCCAGGGTAATTCTGAGACGGTGCTTCTAGTCCTGACTTGAGGGTCAGGAATGACATTCTGCCTATGCTGAAGGAAAAGAAGAAGTGAGCCTGATGAGGACACCAGGCGGGGGGACAGCATGCGCAGAGGCCTGGAAGAATAGGAGAGGATATACCTTGTTCTTAGGGAACTGGAAACATTCAGTTTGACTACAACTTAAAGTGTGTGGGTGTGGGGGTGAAGGGCTGAGGAGACACAGGGCCTACAAAATCAGCATCAGTCAACTTAAGAAGGATCTTGAATATTAGGCTAAGGAATTTGTACTTGATTCTGCAGAAAATAGAGAGTCATTGAAGGATATGGAGTGTGGAAAGGACAAGACTGGGTCTGGGTTTGGGGCAGGTGGCTTTGACTACAGAATGAATTGGAGAGGCTTCAGGCCTGATGCAGGGAGACAGCAAAAAGACAACTGCAACTGTTTGAGGAGCCAGAGGAGGCCTGGACTGTGGCAGAACTATGGAGGAAAATTGATAGTTGTGAGAGTTCTCTGGGAGAATGAATGGACAGAACTTGGTGATGGGTGGGATACTGGTTGATAAAAAGGGAGAAGTGAAGAACTGCCAGGTTTCTAGACCAGATGATTGGGGCTGAAGAGTTGTCTATCTTCATGGTGATGATACTGAGGAGGAACGGCATGGGGGTGGGGAGGATGAATTCGGTTGGGAACACATCACATTTGGAGTGCCTGAGAAACATTCAGGAGGATCCAAGGTTAAACCCTGAAGAGACCACCATTAAAAGATAAGTCAGAACCTGGCCAGTGTGGCTCAGTGGTTGAGCATCAACCCATGCACCAAGAGGTTGCCGGTTCAATTCCTGGTCAGGGCACATACCCAGGTTGTGGGCCCGATCCCCAGTGCAGGGCATGCAGGAGGCGGCCAATTGATGTTTGCGCTCATCGCTGTTTCTCTCTCTAAAAATCAATAAAGAAAAAAATTTTAAATAAATAAAAGGTAAGTCAGAAGAGGGGGAGAAACACATGAAGGAGGCAATGGTCAGAGGTAGGAAGAGGACCACGGGAGCACCATGCTGGAGAACTAATGAAGAAAGTTTCAAGAACGTGAAAGCAAGTGGCCAGCAGTGTGAAAAGTCACAGGGAAATCAAGTACAATGCAGACAGAAAAGTAAATATTGGATATTGGAACTCTATCTCAACCTGGAACTCCATCTCATGTGATTAGAGGAAGATCAGTTTCCTAAGTATAAGTTGAGGAATGAATGAGAAGCAAGGAAGTGGAAT